GTCGGGGGGCTGGTCGGTGCGACGGCCGCGGAGATAACCGGGGCGGCGGGGATATTGTAACCGTGAGGAGCGGGGGGGCAGAGGAGTTCATCTTGCCCTAGGGATGAGTCAAAGCAAACAGGGAGACTCCCTCAGTGACCTGGAGCATCCCAAAATTATCTTGTTTCCACTCCAATTCAAAAGCTCAGCTGGATTCTCCCATGGCAGAAAAGGGTGGGAAGAAAATAGTGATAATTACACAGGGGCCAAGTCACCACAGACGCTGCTCTAATCAAGCTCACCGTTAATCAGTGTTAGTCTACTTTAGTAAGTTTACTAATAACGCATCACACCTCATGAGGATGTTTTGGTGGTTTTTGCTCCTGTTCCTGAAGCACAGCCGCAGCAGTTACGGTGTCCTGCCAGTCCACAGCTGGACACACAAATCGTTTGAGTCAGCTCCTCTGAGCCAAGAACTGATTCATCCTGTGAACTAGCTCTGGCCTGTAGGAAGTTGGGATTGTTTCCTAATTATTATCTGTAAGTCAAGGATAAGGCATTCAAGATGACTATAAGGTCTGGTGTTCTAATTTATACCATATCAGCCAGAAGAACAATTGTAGCAGTTCCACAACATCAAAATCAACACCTGGAATAAAGCTGTCATGCCCAATGGAATGTTATATCCCTAGTTTTCCTTGTGGCTAGTTGTAGCAGTTCCACAACATCAAAATGAACACCTGGAATAATCTCAGGACAAAGAATAAAGTTGTCACGCCCAATGGAATGTTATATCCCTAGTTTGGCTTGTGAAGGACAGCTTGCAGAGGGGCAGCTGTCTTTACAGGAGATACTTTAACAAGGTTTCCACCTCACGATGCGTTATCTAGTTCTGCATTTTATTACAAGTAGAATCATTACACAACAGAGTAATGCATATTGAAAAATACATTTTTACAATGACTCCAGACAAACATTGCAGATAAAATGCCATTGTTCTAAGACTTCCTTTTCTATTTCATGGAGGGTAGTAGAAGGTTCAGAGTTATTTTTGTCACTCATACAAGCTTTGACTTTTCTAGATGAGTTTGCTGCAGTACCCAACTCTGCTGGTTACAGGAAAAAGAGGACTTGCCTGTTAACATCTGATCTACAGCAAAAAAAAAAAAATCCAGCCTTGGCCTCCCATATTGTTACATGTTAATTTAAGCACTATGCAAGAAGTTGTACAAGCTGCTGATCTCCAGCACTGGAAGTCATTAAGGCATCTGTCAGCTTTTAGCCAGCAACTTGCTGTGCTCGTTAGTACCTTCAACACTAACGTTCTCACTCCACTTAGTGGTGTGAAACAGTGA